TGATATGCTAAAATAAGTGAACCAATCGTAGTCCGGTAAAAAATAAAGACTTGGCGATCGGCCAATAGGGTTTTGTCTTATGAACAATACTTGGAATGACAATAATTGGTAACTACTATTGCGATCCTGTTCACACATATACAAATGCTCAACAAGGAAGTTTAACTTAAACACAACAAGGTTAAAAATAAAACTATTGTGAACATATCGATCTCTCTCTAAAACATTTTTTTGTGATTTTCAACAATTTACTTTGGGGCAAAGTAGCCCACTGTTTTCCATGCTTCTATTGAAATCCCTGAAGAAGAGGGAAACGCCTTGTTGAAATGGACAATGATAGATTTACTAAAATAAATGTGGAATGTGTCCATAGGACACAGATGATGCCCCAGCTTGCATATCATATAAAATTATAAACAGACTAACTGAAGAACGGTTAAAGTGACTCTACCAAAATTTGAACTTGATCTGAGTTTTGTGGTAATAAGTATTGTGTATAAGTTTCATAAATTTTTCCCTTTGTAAAGGGACATAACTCTAGAACTGTTAAAGTGACACCACCATAATTCAAACTTGATCTGTATTTTGTGGTAATAAGCATTGTGTATAAGTTTCATAGCATTTGGTTGAGGCAAACTAAAGTTAGAGAACGGAAACCAACTTTGGGACGTACGGACATACGTACAGACGGACAAGGGTAAAACTTAATGCCCCCTCCGCTATGGCGGGGGCATAAAAATATTTCTTTGGAACTATAACAATTCAGGACAGTGGAACTCTCAGATAAAGGACATTTTCACACAAAGTGGACATGGACAGTTGCGATAAAAATGTAAAGGTATGCAATATTGTACCGGTATTGATTTTCATATGATGAAGACATAATCTTTCAATCAGTTTAATTGAGGTCTGGAGCTGGCATGTCAGTTACTGCTAGTAGTCCTTTGTTAATTTATGTATCATTGTCATTTTGCTTAGTTTCTTCTGATACCTATTCTGACATCAGACTCGGACGTCTTTTAAACTGAATTTTACTGTGCGTATTGCTGTGTGTTTGTTTATCCTATTGGCTAGAGGTATAGGGGGAGGGTTGAGATCTCCCAAAACATGTTTAACCCCACCGCATTTTTGCACCTGTCCCAAGTCAGGAGCCTCTGGCCTTAGTGAGTCTTGTATGTTTTTTTTAAATTTTAGTTCATTTATATGTTTCGGAGTTTAGTCTGACGTCCATTTTCAATGAACTAGTACAGATTTTTGTTTAGCGGCCAGCTGAAGTGGGATTTTCTCCCTCTGTTGAAGACCCATTGGTGGCCTTGGGCTGTTTTCTGCTCTTTGGTCGGGTTGTTGTCTCTTCGTCACATTCCCATTTCCATTCTCAATTTTAATATTGTACCGGTATTATTTAATTCGAAACTTATGGAATATTGTGAAAACAATTGGACTGGTAAAATCACTACTCTCCCAAAATTACGATTCAACATAAGTACAATACTGAACTTTATGTCAAAATGAATCTCAAACTAGACAAAGTGATGCCCCCGCACTCCACTCTGAAGTAACTGTATTATAACAAAGTCAAGGTAGGACTTTCTTTGAGATATTATTGTGTCTGGGAGACACAAATGATGCCCCCGCTGATGCAAAGTGTTATTTTAAAATACACAAAGTTGAGCATGGGAGCACATAGGTCTATGGTTCACTGTAGGAGGAGTTATCCGGAAACGCTATGCACCTCTTATGCATTATAAAAAAAAAGATGTGGTATGATTGCCAATGAGACAACTCTCCACAAGAGACCAAATGACACAGAAATTAACAACTATAGGTCACCGTATGGCCTTCAACAATGAGCAAAGCCCATACTGCACATATAAAAATGACAAAGTTCAACTATCTCCCAAAAGAGCCAACCTCAGGGGTGTCACATGCAGCAGATGCAAGTATATATTCTAAAAATGACAAAGTTGAACTATCTCCCAAAAGAGCAAATCTTAACAAAAATCAAAACCCTGACCACATGCACACCTTCAATATATGTACAAACAGCCAGCAAAGTGAACACTTCCTAGCATTCAAACTGTAGGAGGAGTTATCCGGAAACACTATGCACCTCTTATGCAAGTAAATACTCCAAAAAATGACAAAGTTCAACTATCTCCCAAAAGAGCAAATCTAAATAAAAATCAAAACCCTGACCACATGCACACCTTCAATATATGTACAAACAGCCAGCAAAGTGAAAACTTCTTAGCATTCAAACTGTAGGAGGAGTTATCCGGAAACGCTATGCACCTCTTATGCAAGTAAATACTCCAAAAAATGACAAAGATCAACTATCTCCCAAAAGAGAAAATATTAATAAAAATTTGTAAGGGTTCCGCGGATCCCGGTGTCTCGCCTACTTTTGCTGTTAATCGTAGCTCAACAAAAATGAGGAAAAAAATTAATAAAAATATTCCTCTTGATACTATCTTTTGATTGTAAGAAGCTTCTGTCCAAGTTTGGTAAAAATCCAGGATAGTTTATGAATCTAATAAATGTTTTAAAAACTTTAACTGCAAGCTGTATGTAATGTTTACTGGAAGAAAAACTGAGTCCATTTATAAGTAAAATACGAAAAAACAGGTACAAAATTTTAACAGAATTTCCTTCTAGATACTTGCTTTTGATCATAAACAAGCTTTTGTCCAAGTTTGGTACAAATCCAGGATAGTTTAAGTTATTAAAATTTAACCACAGAGTAAATGTAATGAATGTAATGTTTCCTGGCAGAAAAACTAAGTCCATTTATAAGTAAAATACGGAAAAACCAGAATTTTTTTTTTAAAAATTTACTACTGGATACTATCTTATGATCATAAACAAGCTTCTGTCCAAGTTTGGTAGAAATCCAGGTTAGTTTAAGAAAGTGATTAAAATTTCAAAAACTTTAACCACAGAGTGAATATTTGTGGACGCTGCCTCCGCCGACGATGGAATGTAGGATCGCTATGTCTCGCTTTTTCGACAAAAGTCGAAGGCTCAACAAAAATCAAAACCCTGACCACATGCACACCTTCAATATATGAACAAACAGCCAGCAAAGTAAATACTTCCTAGCATTCAAACTGTAGGAGGATTTATCTGGAATAACTATACACCAATAATGGGACGGACAGACAAAAGGACAGACGGACAGGGGTAATAATAATAATAATAATAATAATAAATTCTTTATTTAAAGAGGGTAAACTCAGTTATTTAAGGGGTAAAACAATATGCTCCCCAACTTTCAGTTGCAGAGGCATAAAAACAAGAAAGATCAGTTATGGCACAATTTCGCTGTGGTATACTACCTTTGCACATTGAAACAGGACTATTTAGAAATGAGGCCACTGATGAACGTTTCTGCACCTTATGTGATGGCTTATCAGTTGAAGATGAGAAACATTTTCTACTATAATGATTTTAGAAACTTGCTATTTGAATAAGTGAATACTGACAGGAATTCTATTACTGAAAGAACATTTGTTAATTTGAAGACTTCATCAAAGACAAACCGCCATACATTTGAATTTATTTTTCTGCAAAAGGAAGGAACTTCTTTACAAGCAACAATTTAACATTAAGTTTAAAGTGACATATAGGTACAACAGGCGGGATGTAATTTATAATTAATATTATCGTATTATAAATATGTAATTTTATTTATGATACACTATAACAAATGATCTACTTACTTATTCTTATTCATGACTAACTAATTGGTATATTAATTAAACTTTAAATTATACTCTATATGGTTACTATTTATGCCAACCTCAGGGGTGTCACATGCAGCAGATGACACACACACCCCTCTCCCTTTTTGTATCTGCCTCTGTTAAATGCAGACAGGCATATACAGTTTATAAATTTTCAAAAACCCTTATTCTGCTGAGATATTACTTAAAATCACATAAATATCATTCGTTAAGTTGACTTAATCTTAGATCTTGATTTGCTGATCATTTCTACTGTCAACAGTTTCTCTCCAACTATTAGTTTTCAAGAAACTTCCAAAAAACACAAAAATACAAGAATGTGTCCATAGTACACGGATGCCCCACTCGCACTATCATTTTCTATTTTCAGTGGAATGTGAAATTGGGGTCAAAACCCTTATTTGGCATTAAAATTAGAAAGATCATATCATAGGGAACATGTGTACTAAGTTTCAAGTTGATTGGACTTCAACTTCATCAAAAACTACCTTGACCAAAAACTTTAACCTAAAGCGGGACAGACAGACTAATGGACGGATGAACGAACGAACGAACGAACGAATGGACGCACAGACCGAAAAACATAATGACTCTCTATGATCGTAGGTGGGGCATAAAAAATATTGTCATTTAAGGGAAATAACTCCTATAAGGAGAATCTGATAATTTTAAGGAGAAATGACTGATGGTAGATCATTTTTCCTCATGACAGATTTTCTCATTTCACTGTTATGTTCTATTTATAGCCATGGTGGCCATGTTGGTTGATGGGCAGGAACAAAAAACACAAACTTTATACTTGATACCCATAGGATTATTCAGCTTAGTTTGGTTGCAATTTGTCCACTAAATTCAGAGGAAAAGTTTTTTAACTGACTAGGGCTGGACCAATTTAAAATTGTAGACCTGTTCCAGTTGATTGTTTAGTTCTTTACCTTAAAAAATTAATCACTATGACATATAATGCCTGACAGAAGACATTACTAACAATGACTAAGTTGTAAAACTTGTGTCTCATCCTTTTGTTTATTTTCAGAACAATAAAATATGTTTAAACAAGATAATGCCTTTATCATTCAATTATTTCACATGGTCATAGAAATTACCAGTTAACACTATTCTGCTGTTGAACTCATATGTACATGGACATTGAAGGGACAAATAAACTCTTCAAAATATTTTTAAACTGCCAAAATTGTTGCTTTTTCTGTTTCCTAAAAAAAATATCATTAATGAAATAAAAATTTAATTTCTTACCCAAAACTTCACCAAGAAAAAACTTGATTGAGGACCTTTATCATACAATTCTTTCAATCCACCTTTCTTTTCTGGAAATTTGTCATAAATTTGTCGAATATCTACAGCCTAAAAATAAGCATTAAGTATATAAAAAACATTTACTTTTTTATTCATGTCAATTCAAAATATACCAGTAACAGAGACTTAACTTTTTGTATGGCAAAATACATACAAGAGTGCACAAGCTGAAATGTCTCACCTGATTTACTGATCATTTGATTTTATGTTGAAAGTCTTAAAGATAAAAGTTTTATTACAATTCAAGTATCACATAAACTAAAAAGTTTTAAAGAATCATGACAATCAGGTCAAGGTCAGATAAAAACTGTCACACAAACATATACACCTTACAACTATTCCATACACCAGATATAGTTGATCAATTGCTTATGGTAATTGAAAAACAGACCAAAACACAAAAACTTTACATTGACCAGATAACAATGAACATGAGGTCAAGGTCAGATGACACCGGCTAGACAGACATGTACACCTTACAATCATTCTTTACACCAAATATAGTTGACGTATTGCTCACAGTACTTGAGAAACAGACCAAAACACAAAAACTTACCATTGACCAATGAACCATGAAAATGAGGTCAAGTTCAGATGAAACCTGCCAGTCTGACATGTACCCCTTACAGTCATTACACACACCACATACAGTTGACCTACTGCTTATAGTATCCGAGAAACGGACCTGATCACCTAACTTTAACCTTGATCAATGATCCATGAATTGAGGTCGAGGACAGGTGAACCTTGTCTGATGGACATGTAAACACTGCAAGGAACCCATATCCAAATATGGTTATCCTTTTACTCATTATAAGTGAGAAATTCAAATGACAAAAAAACTCAAATTTTTTTTCAAGCAGTCGCTGAACCATGAAAATGAGGTCAAGGACAATGGGCATATGACAGACGGAAACTTCGTGACATAAGGTATCTGCATACAAGGTATGAAGCATCCAGGTCTTCTACCTTCTGAAATATAAAGCTTTATACAAATAGTTTACGCGGCCGCAGGATAGTAATCCCTATGTCTCACATACTGCGACTTTGGTCATAGGAGAGATAATTTATTGTATATGTCAGCTGATTGGCAACATCAATATTTGTTTGGGCTCTTCCAACTTGTAAGGAAATATAAAGTAACATGGAAGCATAGACAAAAGATTATACAAATTTGTTGAAAGTCCATATTCTTAAATAAAAGATTTCATTAAAGATTTATTAAATTTGTTGAGTAAAAATGTAGGTAGTGATACATGTACATATAAATACAAATGAAAACGATATAGATCTTAAATATGGCATCATTGAATAAAAGACTCTGACTGTGATGGAATAACAAATGCAATGTGGAAATCAACTGGAAAATGCCTGAATGTGATAGTCATCTCAGTGCCATCTTGAAATGTGATTACTGGATATATTAAAATGCTTCGCTGGGCGCAGCTTGATACTGAACAGTTGGGGCAAGTATGGACACAACATTAAAGCTTGATACAGCTCTGAATTTGGATTGTGATTAAATATTTGACACAGCATAGATTTCTGACACAGAAAGAATGTGGTCTAAGAACTTGAATTTTTTTAATTTACCTATTATGGTCCAATGTCCAAAATCAAAATACATGGTTAGATTCAGCATATCAAAGAACCCCATATATTCAATTTTTGTTGAAATCAAACAAAGTTTAATTTTGGACCCCAACTTGGACAAACTTGAAAACTGGGCCCATAATAAAAAATCTAAACACATGTTTAGATTCAGCATATCAAAGAACCCCAAGAATTCAATTTTTGTTAAAATCAAACTAAGTTTAATTTTGGACCCTTTGGACCTTAATGTAGACCAATTTAAAAAACGGGACCCAAAATTAAAAATCTAAATACACGGTTAGATTTGGAATATCAAAGAACCCCAATAATTCAATTTTTGATGAAATCAAACAAAGTTTAATTTTGGACCCTTTTGACCTCAAAATGAACCAATTTGATAGCGGGGCCCACAAATAAAAAATCTAAATACATGGTTAGATTCAGCATATCAAAGAACCCCATATATTCAATTTTTGTTGAAATCAAACAAAGTTTAATTTTGGACCCCAACTTGGACAAACTTGAAAACTGGGCCCATAATAAAAAATCTAAACACATGTTTAGATTCAGCATATCAAAGAACCCCAAGAATTCAATTTTTGTTAAAATCAAACTAAGTTTAATTTTGGACCCTTTGGACCTTAATGTAGACCAATTTAAAAAACGGGACCCAAAATTAAAAATCTAAATACACGGTTAGATTTGGAATATCAAACACCCCAATAATTCAATTTTTGATGAAATCAAACAAAGTTTAATTTTGGACCCTTTTGACCTCAAAATGAACCAATTTGATAGCGGGGCCCACAAATAAAAAATCTAAATACATGGTTAGATTCAGCATATCAAAGAACCCCATATATTCAATTTTTGTTGAAATCAAAAAAAGTTTAATTTTGGACCCCAACTTGGACCAACTTGAAAACTGGGCCCATAATCAAAAAACTTAACACATGTTTAGATTCAGCATATCAAAGAACCCCAAGAATTCAATTTTTGTTAAAATCAAACTAAGTTTAATTTTGGACCCTTTGGACCTTAATGTAGACCAATTTAAAAAACGGGACCCAAATTAATAATCTAAATACACGGTTAGATTTGGCATATCAAAGAACCCCAATAATTCAATTTTTTATGAAATCAAACAATGTTTAATTTTGGACCCTTTTGACCTCAATATGAACCAATTTAATAGCGGGCCAACAAATAAAAAATCTAAATACACGGTTAGATTCAGCATATCAAAGAACCCCATATATTCAATTTTTGTTGAAATCAAACAAAGTTTAATTTTGGACCCCAATTTGGACCAACTTGAAAACTGGGCCAAAAATCAAAAATCTAAATACATGTTTAGATTCAGCATATCAAAGAACCCCATATATTCAATTTTTTGTTAAAATCAAACAAAGTTCAATTTTGGACCCTTTGGACCTTAATGTAGACCAATTTGAAAACTGGACCCAAAATTAAAAATCTAAATACACGGTTAGATTCGCCATAACAAATAAATAATACAAATCTGATGCGCCATACTGTGCAATTAAAGATTACTTCTTGAAATTTTTCAATATTTGAAATTTGAAAAAAAATAATATTTGAAGAATAATTCTTTTTAATTTCTGAAATCTGAAATGAGAAAAAATTGACCCCCCACAATTTCTTTTTACCCCCCCCCCCCCCCTCTTCCCCCAAAAAATTCTTTCCCTCAAGATATGGTCATAATCTCAATCAAATTTCCAATGGAGTTTGCAACCATAATTACCCATTTAAATTTACCATAGTGCTAACTTAATCTATTTTATAATAGAATTTAAAATACAGTGTCAAATCTTTCATATGGATTTTTTTGTAAAGATGCAACATTTGCAGATATTTTTACTGGTCTTCCTTTATAAATATGCATTTCTTTAAACATAATTTAAAAGCAGTGTAAGGGAAGTAACCAAAACGTTTTGTATTTGGATTACCTCCCTTACACTGTTTTAAGTTATCTTAATTGTTCATTAACCATTACTTTATACATAATTTAAAAGCAGTGTAAGGGAGATAATTTCAATGATGTGTTTGATTTACCTCCCTTACACTGCTTTAAATTATGTTTTGTACTAAAGTATTTGTCCATTAACCAGGACAACCTTGTTTTTCCCCTTTTTTGCCCCTAATTCCTAAACGGTTTGAGCTATAACCCCCCAAAGCAAATCCTAACCATCCCTTTGTGGTATGGAAACTTGTAGTATAATTTCAGAGAGATCCATACACCGTTCCACAGTTATTGTCTGGAAACTAGAAAATGCTTATTTTTGGCCCCTTTTTGGCCCCTAATTCCTTAACTGTTGGTACCATAACCCCCAAAATCAATCCCCACCTTCCTTTTGTGGTATTGAACCTTATGGTAAAATTTCAAAGAGATCCATTCACTTAAACTAAAGTTAGAGTGCGAAAACCAATGTGTCTTCGGACGACGACGACGACGCCAACGTCATACCAATATATGACCGTGGTCGTATAAAAAAATCAATTTCTTCTTTTCTGACAGAAACACAAACAATAATACTTTTTCCTAATCTTTTTTTAACTTCATCCTAACCACCTTTAATAGTTTGAGTATGTCACTAATTTAGCTTTCTTCATCTTTTATGTCTATATTATAATAGTGTGTTCAATTACAGGAACAGCAAAAAAATGCCTCAATCCAAATTTGTTTTACTGTCTTTGTCCTATTAGAATGGAAATAATTCATTGGGCTTGAAAAAATATTGATTTTACCACAGGTTGGCCCTTAACACCACTTTTGGTATAATATTTGGCATAAAGGGCCATCCTGTGGTAAAACTATATAAAACAAGCCCCTATGATTTCTTTCCTTAACAATTAGTCTAGTTTCTGACCTTTTGTTTAACATGATCTTGCCATCAGATATTTCAGCATTATTTGCAACAGAACCTTTGATGATAAAGAAAAGCCCTTGAAAAGTTTGAAGGTTATATCCTAACATTTCTTGACTGTAGAGACATACTGGTATAATTATTTAACTTATACAGGTAAAGGAGCCTCAACAATTGTGGTAAAGTAGCTTTGGCCTGAAAGTTATGAAACAATTATTGAATCAAACTTACCTCTAAAAGTGGATCAGAATATGTTGCTGTAGATCCAATGTGAACAAATAAATGTTTTGCATACTGAAAAAAAAATAAGTTTTGAAATTAAGTAGGCTAAACTTCAGTTAATGAAACAAAACAGCTTAAAATGTACATCAGTTCATTGAGGACTCAGTTCTTTCATGGGGTATTAGCTGTCAAATTCATGTTCATTGATTGAATCAAATTCTCATATTTTATTTATAACATATTAAAACGTATATCCAAATTACAAAAACACAAAATGAAACAATTTACAATGAATGGACTTGTTATAATAAATCAACATTTCGTGTGTAGTTCAGACTAAACCCTATCTAACTAACCACCAAGATGACCTCCAACGAATGCAGATTGTTACACAACTTGATATTAACATTATCATAAATATAAATACAGACAGGTACATGTAATCGTAAAGCAGCAATTTTTCTAGGTCTGGAATCATGTTATAGATTAAAAAAAACATAAATCATTGGTTTCACCGGAATAAGAATAATTTTTTGTGAGAGGAAACAGTCAACTAAATAGATCTTCCCTGTGGCTCCTATTCGACTGTCTATGAATTCTATGCGACTGTCATAAGTTTGAGCTTTTGATTTTGCCATTTTATAAGGGACTTTCTGTTTTGAATTTCCCTTGAAGTTCGGTATTTTTGTTATTTTACTTTCCCTACTGTCACTTTCCAATGTTGACATTTTCTTTCTAACAACTGATCATGCTTTACACATGTGTAACCCATATCCGGCTGAGGGTTAAATTGAAGGTTGAATGAATACTTCAAATGTTGAATTATTGACTTACAAGCCAATAATGCAGTACCAATGTTTTTGAGCTTATTTTGACGAAATTGAATCAAACTGACTGTTAACAGCGAATTGTTATTTCACAATTTTGCTTTTACAAATGTTTGAAGCAAAATTAAATTTTAATTTTTGTTAACATCACTGTATGATCTGACACAAAGAGATCAATTTATACAGGTTTAATTTTATGTCTGATCTAGCTAGTTTAGAGAGATTTCACTGTATATAATAATTTGAGCTGATTTTGAATAACTATTGTTTTAATTTAATTCAAATATAAAAAAAATAGAAATTAAGAAGGCTCACATTATCTGGATCTCTTGTCTGTTCTAAGAAAGCACTAAATTCACAAAGACGTAGTTTTGGACCAGCTATTGACCTGCCTTGCCATGGCGGAGCTACCACTTCACTGTTCACAGATGTTTGTGATTTGTGTTCTAAATAACCTGGTGTACCAAATGATGGCTTAACACTACAACGATAAAAAAAATACACAATTATTGTTCAAAACTGCTTACCTTCTTTGCTCTCAGACCTGGACAGGGAAATTTTTTCAAAATAACTAAAATAAACATTTTATCTGTAATTTTTTATTGACCATTTTCTAATAAAAGCTCTTTTGAAGTCATTTGCAGCAGTCCAGAAAAATCCTAAAAGGTAAAAAAAAACAACAAAAACATTTATAAAACCAGATTAGACAAGCCGAAATGACTAATACTTAAAATTGACTTATTGAAAAGTCTACTGTACATATCAATGATAATTTACATGCATCAATTTTACAACGGGGCAATATCACAATCAAAATTCTAATGAAATGTGACATGACATGTTCTTATAATTAGCTTATGGTCTGTATATGCTACAGAATAAAAAAAATTTTTAAAATAAAAATATAGAGAAATGGGCAAAAAAATGAAGAAGAGAGAATAATAGGTGCTTAAATATACAGAATAGAGAAAATTTGTATATAAATAACTTAAGTAGAGAACAGAAACTAAAAATTCAGCAATTTTTCTATTTGTAAACACTCATAACTCTAGAACGGTTGTGTATAAGTTTTATAACATTTGGTTGAGACAAACTTAAAAATTCAGCAATTTTTATGTTTATAAAGGGACATAAATCGAGAATGGTAAAAGTGTCGCAACCAAATTTCATACTTAATCTGTATTATGTAGTAATAAGCATTGTGTATAAGTTTCATAACATTTGGTTGAGGCAAACTAAAGTTAGAAAACGGAAACAAAAAATTTGTACTTGATCTTAGTTTTGTGGTAATGAATATTGTGTATAGGTTTCATAATGTTTGGTTGGGGCAAACTTAAGTTACAGAATGGAAACTAAAAATTTTGCAATCTTTCGATTTATAAAGGGGCATAACTCAATAATGGTTAAAGTGACACTACCCAAATTCAACTTGATCTGTGTTTTATCAGTGGAAGTCAAAATTAAACATTGCATTGTATAAAGCATTGATTGTAGTTGATTCAACTATAATCATGGACAAAGGAAGATAACTCCAATTTTAAAAATTACTTGATATTTAGAAGAAAATAAAAATTTTGCAATTTTTCCATTTATAAAGGGGCATAACTCTAGAACGGTTAAAGTGACGCCACCAAAATTCAAACTTGATCTGTGTTTTGTGGTAATAAGCATTGTGTATAAGTTTCATAACATTTAATTGAGGCAAACTCAAGTTAGAGAACGGAAACCAATTTTGGGACGTACGGACAGACGGACAAGGGTAAAACTTAATGCCCCAGCCGCTACAGTGGGGGCATCAAAAAAGAAAACCTAATATGCTGACTCAAGCCCCCTACCTAAATCCACTATCAAGACCCTCTTAACTTTGCACCATATAAACTAAAAAGTACTCCTAAACCTTTAAGCCCTAAAGTCAGAAATATGAAGACATATTCAATATTCAAAAGTATTTCAATACTAGATATACATACTATATATGTGTTGCTGATCTCTTCTGTATTAGGAATTAACATAATACACAATGAAAATTTAGGTTTTTTGTTAATAAACATATAAACGTATACCACTAGCACATGAATATCATACCATATATGATGAAAATATTTGATGACATTTTAAGTACAATTATGTTAATTGCATGGAAATAATGAAAAAAGTCCACTGCCAAAAAATTGTTTTTCAAAAAATAAAGAGTCCAAAGCACCTCCCTTAAGAGCAAAGAAAGGCAAAAAAAAAAGATGCGTGAATATAGCACTATTTAAAATCTGCTTCACTGAACTAGTACACATTTTTGTTTAGGGGCCAGCTGAAGCCCACCTCCTGGTGCGGGAATTTCTCGCTGTGTTGAAAGACCCATTGGTGGCCTTGGGCTGTTTTCTGCTCTTTGGTCCTGTCTCTTTGACACATTCCCCATTTCCATTCTCAATTTTATTCACATTGAAAAGTGTATTTAATTTACAGTTCAGTATTCATGAAATAATTGTGTTTGTGTATATACTTGTGTTATTACAATGGTACTATATTCAGCATTTCTGAATGAGTTTTAATGTTCCTTTGGTATCTTTCGTCTCTCTTTTTCATGTATTCTAAATTTCTTAAATTTCTAAAACACATATTTCGTAAATACTGACATGTGAATTAAACACTTCTTTACAATGTTCACTATTGCTTCATACCAGAGACATATATATACATATGTGTGCATTATAAATGTCTCTGATCATACTGTAAGGTAAGTGCTAATTTTTTAAGAGATAATATTACTGTGTGAACCAAGGATTTATTCAAATCTGGAATAATTTTGAATTCTGCAAAATTGATAAGAAATATATGCATGATGAAAACAAACCCAATTTAGGAGAGTTAGCCATGCATGCATCGCTAAGGGGGGTTAGTTAGTTCATACTGAAATATTAGTGAAAGTATAATTAACCTTAGCCATGCGTGCATGGCTAACCCTCTTTAGTTAGGTTAATTTTCATCATACATTTCTTATCAATTTTTCAGAATTCAAAATTATTCCAGATTCAAATAATTCCTTGTTTGTACTTTAATATTGAGATTTGGTATATCACACAAAAACTATTGTATAAATATATATATATATGTATAAGTACGTCTAAACAAGTGACAACTCTACGACAGATCCATTCATTGGATCACCAGTTAAGGTGATACACGGCAGAAAACACATTATATATTCATAACTACTCTAAATATCAGCACAACAATGTTAAATCTGCTAATTTGGGAAGCAAATTTTTGTTCTTCCCTCGCCGGGATTCGAACTCATGCTATTGGGATATCAAGACAACACTGTGTCCATCGTTACCTAGACCACCCAAAGCTGAATTATTAGTTCAGTCTAGGTGGCCGAGTGGTCTAGAATGATGGACACAGTGTAGGCGGTGTTGTCTCGATATCCCAATAGCATGAGTCCAAATCCTGGCGAGGGAAGAACAAAAAAATGTAAATTTGCAGATTTAACATTGTTGTGCTGATATTTACAGTAGTTATGTATATATATGTATATATATATGCAGCTTAAAAAGTTTGATAAATGAATGTATTATTTGTTACAAATATCATATATTCTAGAATGTACATATCTGGCCTTTCAGAATCTGGAAATTTCAGAAGAAGTTTGCCATATTACCTCTCATACACAATATATACATTAATACAATCACTACAAAAGTCAAAAAGTCTGAAAAGACCAGTTTTTGTCTGAATTTGCATGAATTTTTACTCGACATTCTTAATTTGTCTGAATAATTTTTAAAAATTCTTGACATAGTATGGATTTGTCTAATAAGGTTCTTGATTTTTCTTGACAAGTGTCTTGACAGTATGAACATTGTCTTAAAATTTCTCGACACTTCCTGTATCATCTGATAAGAGTCTGGATTAGTCTCGACCAATTCTTGACTGTCTTAAATTTGTCTCGATTTGTCTTGACATATTCTTGACATTCTTAATAATGTCTGAATATGTCTCGACATATTCTTGACATTCTAAATAATGTCTGAATATGTCTCGACACATTCTTGACAGTCTGTAATATGTCTTGACACTATCTCAACAGTATAAATTTCGCCTGAAATGTGAATAGACTTATTCTGCACTGTTTATGACATTCTATTGCTGTTATATACTCCTTTTTATTATGGCTAAACTAAACTTTGAAGAATCAAGGATTAATTTGGTATAGTAAGATACCCTTTTGGTGCAACTAAGTTGGAATACCCTGAATAATCCCCCATGTAGTTTAATTTTGATTTATTTTTATTAAACATTTAAGTAATTGTTTTCACTTGGAATATAAGTTGAAGGTATTGACAAACAGCATTTAGATTTTTGCCGTTCGCAAAACTGCCAGTCAAATTTGCTTTACTAAAATAGGTGTCTTGTATCTCTTTTGGACCCCACAATTCATCTTTTGGGTTTGTGTGGCTAAAAAAAGAGGGGGGGGGGGGGGGGGGGGGCTTTCGTTTAGGTCAAAGAATTTGTTCCCATCTTGATTCAAAATCCTTATTCATTTTTTAGAACAACCCAAAAACATTTTTTATTCAAATTTGAGTGTTGAATTTTATAATTTTTTATCAAAAATAAATATTTGTGATAACTCCTTCCTGAATAGAAAAAAATGTTTAGATCTATATCATGCATGTCTGTTTGAGAACCATTTCATAAGATCGATGATTTCTATAGAAATCATTGATGGGACCCATTATAAATACATTTTTTTTATTATTCCTGGAGTAGATAATAATTTTCTTTTAATCTTTGGGAATTATTCAATTTGTTTTTATGTTAAAATAATTAACTTCATAATTTTGATGAAGAAAATCCATTTCAATTTAATTTTTTTTCATCAAAATGATGATTTTCATTTTCATCTATCAACAAACTTTTTAAATTGTAGTGGCATGGTCGGTCAACTGATAAGTTGTATGGCTGATTACAGGTAAAGCAATAACTTCTATTTGACGGTTGCGTGTACTCTGGGGTGTGGAATACCTTAATTTTATGGGGAACATCCTGTCCATGTGTAATACTTAATATATTCCAACAGATGACATTACACAAATTTTTCTTCTGTTAAATGAATGATTTGTATATCATCATAATTTGCTATTTATATTGAATATCATGAATGTAGAATGAAATATGTTTACAGTATGATTGGTTTGAATCATTTAATTTATAAGATTTAGGAATCAAAATTTGTAATTATTTAAAAACCCACATTGAAATTGTTTTATATCAACACACCCACATTTGAATTATTTTATACTTTAGATTTCATAGCCATATTTGCATTTGTAAAAATATTTATATACCCCAATTTTCAATTATTTTACATGCCCAACTTTTATTTTTTGTTGTAAAGAAGTGTAACTTGAAACAACAGTATATCATATAAAGAGAAATAAAGATTAAAGTTATATCATGAATATTGGTCATGATTTGTAAAACTCA